GGCCGGAGCCAGGCCACCCGGAGCCAGGCTGCCAGCGCTGGTCCAGGCCGGGAGGGGCGGTGGGAGCAGTGAGTCCCTCTGTGCACTGACCGCCACCGTGGGGCTTTACATCTTTGCCCTCTCAGGCTCTCGCCGGCCCTGGGAGGGGAGGGGACATGCCCAGCGTTGAGCTGGAACCCACCTTGCCTATGGGTCTCTGCCCTCACAGAATATTCCCCAGGACCCAGAGTCTGTCTGTGGAAACCAGAGGGCAGACAGAGCCTGCAGCCCTGACGCCTCGTCTTCCTGTCCTGTGTGGCCTGGTATCATCCCCCGCCCCCATGCTGGGCTGTCCTCTGGACATGTCCCTGCTCTGAGGACTGGGATGGTGTCTCGTCCGCTTCGCTCTGGGTCAGGTGCTCTGGGAACGCCTTCTCCTCTATTCACTGCTTGGTGGAGCCGGCCCGGGGACAGAAAAGTGGATACGAGCGTCTGCTGTGTGACCACAGGCCAGTGTCTCCCCTCCGGGCCTCATCTGTAGAATGAGGGGCTGGCCCTGCAGCCCGGGGTGTGTTCATTAGACCACTTGTTTCTGGGAAAAGGACATACATGGCAACCAAAATAGACGTTGCTTGGCTAACAAGTTTGGGAAGTGCTGGAGGGAACTGTCAATGCGATACCTTTACTGCAGGCTTTCTCGGGGCTTTCGTAAGCCAGTGGGCACCGTGGATCTCCAAGAGGGAAAATAAGTGTCGTATCCCAAACATCCGGGGGTTGGCCACCTGCTCCATGTCCTGCCCTCTGCCGGCCTCCTCCTCTGCTAGGGCGGCCCAGCAGCTGAGAGCCGTACGTTTGCTTGGCTGCTAGGAAGCAGTCCTGTGCTGAGCCGAGGCTGGGTGTCTGGGTGAAAGGCCAGCCCTGTGCCGGGCTCTGAGGAGGTGGGGCGAGCTGGCCCTGACCTAGGGAGCGCCCAGGTCCCCGACCCTGCCTGGCCATTCTGTCCATGTCCCAGGCCCTGTGACCCCGGAATGCCCTTCGTCGCTCTCCTCGCTCCCACGGCTTGGCTTTCTCCTCTTCCTTGAATATGGTCCCTTCCTCCCGTAAGCCTTTCCTGGCCCCTAGATGTGGTGGGACCGGGAGTCAGAAGCTCTGGGTGCAGGTGCAGCCCTCCCACGGACAGTGCTGTGACTCTGAGCAGCCACTTCCTTCTGCCCCTGGTGTTCTGGCTTATAGAACGGCCGAGCTCATAGAGGCCTTCGAGGCCTGTGATTGCCAAGAGGAAGCCACACCAAGCGGTTCCGCCTGGCGGCCCAGGCTGATCTCTGTTTTGAAGCCCCCCGTATGCACGGGGCTGTGGGATGAGCGTGGGAGGGAATAACTGTGAAGGATGCATATTGTCTCGGGGAGGATGCCTCTGGGGGTGGGTGCTGGCAGGTGCTGAGTGATAATAATTTCACAAGGTCATAGACTCTGGGTACAGAGAGGGGCTTCAGATGCAGTCGGCACCACACCTCCACTTCCATGTGAGGAGGCAGGCCCTCATCTGTGATGATGGCCCAATGTCACACCCACAGCTGGGGCTGCTGGCTCCACACCCCGCAAACGTGCGCCTTTATGCTTTCAGTTTATGCACTTACCCACTCACCAACAAGCCTGTGTGGTGAAGCAGGGAGATTATCCCCGAATGCAGATGAAGACAGTGAGGCCCAGCCCTGGCCGGTTTGGCTCAGTGGATAGAGCATCGGCCTGTGGACTAAAGGGTCCCGGGTTCGATTCCGGTCAAGGGAACATGCCTGGGTTGTGGGCTCGATCCCCAGTTGGGGGCATGCAGGAGGCAGCCGATCAATGATTCTCTCTCATCACTGATGTTTCTATCTCTCTCTCTCCCTCTCCCTTCCTCTCTGAAATAAAAAATATATTAAGAAAGGCAGGAAGGAAGGAAGGAAGGAAGGAAGGAAGGAAGGTAGGAAGGAAGGGCTCAGAGAAGTTATATAACTTGCCAAAGGTCACACAGCCCACAGGTGGCAGAGCAGAGTTCGTTGGACCATGGGCTGTCTGACACTTTCCTTGGCCAGCATTCTTGTTATAAACAGCCATTCCCACTTCCTTTGTCCTGGATTTCCCATTCTCCCCCTTGGCCTGTGGAATCCCAAGCCCTTTGTGGCAGCTCATCTGTTGCCATGGCACCAGATTATGATGTCGCAGACCCTGGATGATTACATACTGCTCCTGGGCTGTGAAGTACAGGGACCCACAGAGGTGGGCATTGTCCAAGGGGCGACTGGCATGGAGGGACATGAATCCCTGGAAACAGGGAGCCACGGCCTCCCGCCCAGCTGGGGAATCACCCCGGGAGCTGGAGCCAAGGCTGCCACGGCCAAGAGAGCGGGGGCTGGCATGGCTTGTCCGACACCTCGGAAGACTGCCCAGCCCTCATCGCTTGGCAGTGCTGATGCAGCCTCTTGATGAGGGGCCGTCGGCTCAATTCCATGGACAGCCGGCACCGGGTGCTTGCTCGGGTCCCCCAGGGGAGCCTTTTGGCCTCTTCTGTGTCCATGCTGCACGGGAAGCCACCGCCCCTATGTTGATCTGCCTGGACCAGTGGCTCCTGGGACCCAGTCATACTGCACTTGCCAGAGTCCTCAGTCCTGTATTGCTGAGATGGCCGAGGGCCTTAGTGGAGGGAGCCTGTGCTTTGGCAGCTGCCACATGGAATTGAAATCCCACTTCTGCCACCACCACCCTCACCTCTTTGAGCCTCAGTTTCCTCTTGTGTAAAATGGGATTAACAGCAGCTACAGGGCATCTGACTGGGAGGTCAAACTGTGGCCCTGCTTCCACCCATACGTGACCTTGGGCGTGTAACTTAGCCTGGATTTCCCCATGCGTCGAGCGGGACAGATGGGCCCCTTGTCGTGGGGTTTCCTGGGAAAGTGCTCGCACGGGGACTGGCACACGGGACACACTCGGGGAATGTAGGAAGGAATGTTTCTCTTTTGGATGCTGAGCTTCTGGTGGAGAAACACTCTGCTGTCCCCGCTGGGAATGCCCAGGTGCTGTGGTCATCACTGTCCTTATTTCAGGTGATTATGGGCCATGATTTACCTAACTGTGGTATTGATATCGGTGACCTCCCACGCCCCGTGGTGCAGGGCTTGGAGGGCTGCGCAGCTCCTGGCCTAGAGTCAGGACGGCTGGTTCTGGTCCCTGCCTTGCTGTTCCCCTGGGCTGACCCTGTCTCTGAGCCTCAGGCTCCCCACCTGTAGGTGGACTCTGATTCCTCTGGTTTCTTCTAGCCCTGCACAAAGGTGTTCTCCTGTGGAAAGTGTGAAGAAAACATCCTAGCATGCAGATATACTGCAAGGATTCCACTGAAAAGAGAGGCAGGCCCAGCCTGTGTGGCTCAGTGGTTGAGCGTCAGCCCATGGACCAGGAGGTCACGGTTTGATTCCTGGTCAGGGCACATGCCTGGGTTGTGGGCTCGATCCCCAGTAGGGGGTTTGTAGGAGGCAGCTGATCAATGATTTTCTCTAATCAGTGATGTTTCTATCTCTCTCCCCCTCTTCCTTCCTCTCTAAAATAAATAAAGATATATATTTTTTAAAAAGAGAGGAGAGGCAGAAATAGGATGGATTCAGGAAACCCAGTCATGTTGCTCCAGAGGCAGCCCGAGGGCCTGTGGGAGGATGGACATAATCCAAGCTGGCCACTGGCAAGGAGCTTCTGGCGGGAGGGGGAGCCCTGGCCCAGGATGTGTGAGCAGAGGCTGGGCAGCTGTGCTCCCATCGGGCTCGAGCCCCCACTGAGAGCTACCCCGTCAGGCCCTGTGCTGAATGTGACATAGCACCTACACTGGGGAGCATCAGGCCAGTGGAGGGACAGGGAGAAGAGCACCCCACTGGACCCCGTGTTCCTGTCTCAGTTCCGCTCCCAGCTGTGAGAGCTCAGCCTGCTACATCCCCCATGAGACCACGGAACACCCATTTCCTTTGCTTCTAATTAAGACTTCAGACCATGAAAACAGCAATAGCTGCTACTTATCGAGCATCTGCTATGAGCCAGGATCTCTGCTGCGTGTTCCTCATACATTACAGCTTGCTTCCTTCTTCAGAGCCCTTTGCTCCTTCTTCCCATCCTATATAATAAAAGCCTGATATGCAAATCAACTGAACGGCAGAACCACCGGTCGCTATGACACGAACTAACCACCAGGGGGAAGATGCTCAACGAAGGAGCTGCCCTCCCCAGCACCCCCACCCAGCATAGCAGAGGGCTCCTGGACTGCAAGAGGGCACAGGCTGGGCTAAGGGACCCTCCCCGCCCACCTCCCCATGCACGATTTTTGTGCACCAGGCCTCTAGTTATATAGATAAGAAAACAGAGGCTCAGAGGTTAACAACCCCAATGCCAGGCAGATCAGAGGCAGAGCTGGGATTCAAACTCCCCATGTGGAGGCCTCCCCTGCCCCTCAGACTGGAAGCACCCTGGGGACAGAGACTGATTTGGGTGTCTTGCCAGTAGATTCTCTTTCCACCACTCAGAACAGAGGATATCTCATTAATCTTGTCATAAAACAATCATTCGCCTTGATTTATTATCACCAGCTTTCTGGTGCTTCCAGATGAGGCCTTGACATTGGTCTGGTTGGGGGGAGTAGGTACAGGGACTGAGAACTGGCAGAAGGGGCTAAAGCATCTGCCCTAGGTGATCAGGGAAGACTTCCTGGAGGCTGTGACAGTGGAACTAGACTTTGGGGGAAGAGAGCGGTGTGATAGGGAACAGGCATGCCCTTGGTGGATGGATCCTGTCACACTTGGACTTCGCTCTGAATTTGGAGGGCAGGACAGGTGTCACCTGTCTCCCTCTGGTGCTCTGTAAAAGCATCTCCTGTTCTCTCCCCTCGGTCGATGGGGCTCCCTGTGGCATAGGGACCATGGAAGGCCAGGTGATCGAGCACATTTTGTCCTGAAAAAGCCTCCTGTGCCCAGCAGGCCCCTCACGCTCTTCTCCTTGCCCCACAGCCAAGAAGACTTGTATGGACACCGACTTCACCTGTGACAACGGCCACTGCATCCCCGAGCGGTGGAAGTGTGACGGCGAAGAGGAGTGTTCTGATGGCTCCGATGAGTTCCAGGCCACCTGCCGTGAGTCCTGTCCCTCGGGCTGCGGGCGGGGGTCTTGGGCTTCGGTTTCCTCATCAGCTCTTCCTTGGTGGGAGGTTGGGAGGCTCGAGGAAGGTGATCTGTCAAACACAGCCCGGCCTCACTTGGCGCTGTGCCCTCAGGGCTCCTGGCAAAGGGCAGGTGAACCTAGTAGCTGGTGTCCAGCATCCTGCTCCGGGCTGTCTTCACAGCTCCCGGCTCACTGGGCCCTGCTCCTGCATACCAGGCGCTTCTAAGAGAGCCCTTCGAGTCTCCTGCCCAGAAGTTGCCATAGCACATCCTCCAGCCCCGCGCACGCCCCCCCCCTACCTTTTTGATGACTCCAATCATGACTCTAATAATACTAACAACGGCTGGTGCTCGTGAAGCATGTATTGTGTGCCAGGCACTGTGCTGAGCTCTTTGTGTACATTAATTCCTCTCATCCCCACAGCAGCCTCATGAGGCAGGGACTGCCACTTTCTGAATTTTACAAAGGGGGACACCGAGGCTCCGACCCAGCCAGGACGTTGAGGCCTCAGTTCTTTCCTCTGCCCTGGGCAGCTCTGCCCAGGTCCCGGCCTCCATGGCCGGCTGGCGGCAGCCCAGGCAGCAGGGTGAGTGGTTGGCAGAGCTGAGCCCCAGGCCTGCCCCACACTCAGGGCTTTGTCTCTCCGTAATTTCTTTTCCAGGCTCTAATCCTCAAAGCAAACTTACACCAGCAGGTCATTCTGTGACATTTGTTAAATTAAAAAGGGAGATGAGAAGGGGGCGGGGAAGGACCCAGTGGTCCTGGAGGCAGAGCTTCACCCGAGTGAGCCTGAGACAAAAGACGGGGGGGCGGGGCGGGGGTAAGCAAGCATGTGGAGGGTGTGGGGCTGGGGGGGAACTGCAGTCACAGCCCCGCGTCCTGTTAGGGGTACAGTTGTCCCAGAGGCAGAGGCAGGGACAATGGAGGCCAGCATCCCATCTAGTCCCATTGAGGGCTGAGCTAGTGATAACTGGGTTTCCTTGTCTCCTAGCAACAGAGCTACCTGTCTCGGTCTCGGAGTGAGAGAAAGAGAAAGGGGAAGACAGAGTGACAGCAAGAGCAACCCAGCCTAAGACAGGGCCCCCCAGCTCCCTTCCCTTTTGCCCTCACCTTCCCTGCATTGCCCCAGGCCTGATCCTTTCCTCACCCACCAGGTGCCAACCCCAGCGCTGTCCTGGGGGTGCCTGGCAGGGGGCAGCCAGCTCATTGTCTTGAGCTTCAAAAGGAACAAAGCCCAGCCACACCCACTGTGACTCTCAATTCTCAGGACAACCTTGGCAAGGGGGTGGGATGGACCCCCATTTAGAGAGAAGAAAACCGGCTGGAACAGGTTCACCCTTTGTACAAGGCTACCCAGCTAACAAGGGGCAGAGCCAGTGCCACCCAGCGGCCGTGCAGCCTGTGCAGCCTGGTGCGTGCGTTTGGGGAGGGGCTGTGGCCACAGGGGGCTTTTCCACCACTGCAGCCAGCCAGCTGGGCCACCCGCCCTCACGCCAGCAGTTACCCTGGACGCTGGGGCAGAAAGGGAGGGGAGAGCTGCATCACCGTTATTACCGGGATCTGTCTTGCTGCCTGAGAGCTCTGCTCCCCTCTCCCCACTTCTCTGGGTTGGTGTCCCTTTTCCTCTTCCTCCTGCCACGGGGTCCTGCCCACCTTGCTGGCCTGCCCCTCCCCCACCCTGCCCTGCCCCGTGTCCCTGTCTTTGTCCTTTTTGCCCACTTAGCACTTGCTGCCTTCCCACCCAGGGCCTGCTTCGCACCCAGCTCCGAGGCAGTTACTGGCGGCCCAGAGCGGTGGAGGGCCTTGCTTCCAAGATGCTCAGGTTGTCGTGGCTGGTCTGCCTCCCGTGACGACAGGCTCCACAGGCTCCCTGAGGCTTGAGAGAGCACCCATGGGAGTGTAGCCAAGGCTGCGTCCAGGGAGGGAGGAGCCCAGCTCTTTGGGTCCTCCCAGTAACCAGTCCTCCGTGGGCCCTGGTTTCCCACATCCCAGAATTCCTAAGACCGTGATCCTAAGATTCCTAGACTGATGATTCTGAGATACTTTCTCCTTTGCCTGTGCCCAGCTGGGACACGAGCTCAGGACCCCACTTTCGGTCTAGAGTTGCATGGTCAGAGGTGGACAGGCTTACGGGCAGGGAGGACTGCCTGGAGGAGGTGAGCCAGGGGGAACCTCGAGGGTCAGGCAGCATTGGAGGGCCTGGTAGCAGGCTTCCTGACTGAACAAGAACCCCACAGCTAACCCACTGCCCATTGAATTGGTGTTGTCATAGCAACCTTCACAGCCTACCAGGTTTCTGGGGATTGTGCCAGCTCCCAGGATTGAGTCCCTCCCCACCCTCAAAGAAAGATTATAGGCAATAGTAAAGTGTGGTGAGTACTATGGGGTTTGATATATTTGGGTTCAGGTCCTCTAACCTCTGAGGCCTCAGGCAAATTGCCCAATCTCCCTGGACCTCAGCTTATTCATCTTTAAAATGGGGGTAATGGTATCTGCCTTGCAGGGGATGTGAGGATCAAATGGAAAACTGCTCGGAAAGTGTTAGTGCTGCAGTAACGGGCAGTGTTACTTTCATTATTATATTTTTACTTCAGGCCCTCTCCCTCACATACCCCAGTTTAAAATCTTAGAATAGTATAAGTGAGGGGGGTTGCATCGAGAGGGTAAGGGATCTGGGAGCAGCCCCCATTCCTGCATTCCTCCTCTACGACTAGGGGACTGGGGTTTCTCCCAGCTCTCTTTCCTCTGGTTCTGGATTGTCTGTCAAACGCAGCCAGGAGTCACAGTAGGAAAGCCTGGGACATTTGCCTAATGAAAGTAGCATCGCAGCTCTAATTATAGTGCACTTGATTGGGGACGGCTCAGACCCACCTTCAGGCGTCTGGAGGGGCGGGAGGTGGGGAGTTTGGTTCAAGGTGAGTGAGCTGCAATTCTTGGTGCTGCTTATTGAAAATGAGGGTTTATGCATGAATCTTAGAACCTTTCCACCTGGAAGCAGACCTCACTGATTAACCAAGAGTGCCTTCCTATCTATACTAATAAAAGCTGAATATGCTAATTAGCACTTTGCCCCCGTGTGAAGGAGCTGCTGCAACCACCCCTTCTGCACCGGCAGCAGCTGGACACTGAACGTTCCCAGGGCCCGAGCTCTGGTCCCCTTGGAGCCGGCAATCCCCACTTGGAGGTCGGCTGCCCTTGAGCCCCTCGTGACCTGACACACACACGTGCTGGCTCAATAAGCAGCCGCCAAGTACTTTCATTCTTTTATTCAACAGACATTTCCCTTTTTATTAATTTGCGAGCTTATGAATTAGAAAAAGTACCCACGGGTTTGGATTTCTGGGGCAGATTCTCTGGGAATGTGTAAATGCCTACAGCCTCTCCAACGTGCAGTTGGGCCCTCGCCAGCTGTGCAGGATTCCCCACGTCCGAGACGGCAGGTCCCTCGCTCCTGCCTCTCAGGACCTGGGGATACTTGACCAGCAGGCTGGGGGCTTCCCTCAGGCATCCGTCTCAGGGAGACAGACAGAGACAGGCACCTGCGTTCTGGGCTGGGGCTGACCGTGGTGGGCCATGATAACGTGCATCCCCAGGGGGGAGACCAGGGCCCTTCCAGCCCTTTGCGTTTGCATTTTATGAACTAAAACAAGGGCCATTCTTTTTTGACCTTAGAGTTTCTTGCAGGTTCTGAGAGTAGGCATTTCCATGTTTCCCCATTTAAACCACCCACCAAATCTAGAAGACTGTGTAACCCCGTTTTCAGATAAGAGGAGCCAGAGTGTGGAGAGGTTAAGTGATTTGCTGAAGGAACTCGAAAGCCCAGGCTCTGTCGCCCACCTCATGGTCCCCAAGGCCCTTGGCTTCAGTCCTCCTGAAAGTGGGCGCTGGGCGGGCACCTGCCACCTTGCAGACCCTGCCTGGGCTGAGGGCCCTCGAGCTCCTTCCTTCAGCACCCTCTCCACCCAGGGATGCCGGGGAGACTGACAAGGGTGGGGACCCCAGGGGCCTGCTTTCTCTTGTGATCAAGTGCAAAAAAGTCAAGCAGTGCGTTGGGAGGTGCGTCCTGGGATGGAAGCCCAGCTCTGCCCCTCACTGCAAGACTTACCCTCTCCAGGCTTAGCTCTCCTCGTTCGTAAGACGAAGGTAATGACAGTGCCCCTCATAAGGAGACCTGCACTTCCCAGGGCCTGCAGTGAGAGGCCTGGCCCAGGAGCCTGGAGAGCGCGGTGGGTGTCCTGGCTTTGGGCAGAGCCACATCACAGCAGAGACAGGGGGGTTCCGGGAGAGACGGGCCATTGGAACAGCCAGCATCCCCTAGCCTCAGCAGGTCCCTTCCCCTCTCGGACCTCTGTCTCCTCTCGCTCTAACGGCTGCTCCTCCATGTGACCGCCACGACCCCTGGAGCCTGGCATTCCAGCATGGCGCCTTGGCGCTCTGAGGGCAGGAGGGCTGCTGTCAGGCGCTGCCGAGTCCTCGAGAGCCTATAATTAGAGCTGTCTATTTAGGGACATGGCAAATGTCTTATTAATTATAAAGAAAGGAAGCGGACGGATTGTTTAATCATTGTCCTTGCTGAAAGGTTATGCAATTAACTGTATAAATATTCATTAAAAGTTCAAGCGGCTGCCTGCTGCCCTGGGGTCTGCAGGACCAAGCCCCAGAGGGGGTGCGAGTGGTCGAGGGACCTTCCAGCACCTGGGATGTGGGGCGGAGTCTGGAGCTGTTCTGAGCCACTTCCCTACCCGCAGGAGCCCGTGGGGGTTGATGGGAAGGGGAACCTGGACTCTGCTTCTCGCCGCTGTGCATTTTGGCCATCACTTGGTCTCTCTGAGCCTCCGTTCAATGCCGACATGACCATCTCTATGAATGGTGCCCCTGGAATTCACACTCACAGCCTGCACGGCCTGCTTACCTAGCAGGTGAGGGTAAGGGTGAAACGGGGAATCATCAAATGCTCAGTGTGGAGCAGGCCGACACACTGCAGGTGCCCAGTGCGCATGACTTCCTTCCAGCTCCCCGGTGAGCTGGTTTCCCGAGGCCTGGCTCAGGGACATACGGCCGCCTTGTCCCTCCACCCCGTCGTTCTCTCTGGGCTTGCAAACATACAGAGCATTGCTATCACTTTTCTGGGAGTGAATTTAAAAGCGATGAAATAGCCTATTATCTTTTGAACTTGCAGAATGATAACCTGGAGGTTTCCCAAGGGGTGCATGGGAATCACTGGGGTGGGGGGTCTGCTAAAATGCAGATTCCTGACTCTGCCCTCGAAGTCTGGATTCAGTCTACTACGGGCTGGAGTATTTCCAACAGCCACCACACCCTCATCCCTTAGTCAGGACTCGGGGAAATGCGGGTCAGCCCCAGCTCCCTGTGTTCTGATGGGCCCCGAAGGGGAAGTGCTTACTGAGGTCCCACAGTGTGTCAGTGATAGAGGTGCCCCTTCCCAACTCCCAGGCCCCTCACCACCCGGCACGGCAGCCCCAAGGCCGCCCCAGACTCGACACAACAGTCACTTGTTAAGGGAAATGTCTGTAACATGAATCCTGCATTCCCAATGGGTTGCCTTGTAGTCCATGAAATGTCGTCCTAGGGATAACTTCGGGGTCCATGCTGGGGGCCAAGGAACTCCTCTCTCATGGCACAGTAGTGTTTGCAGGCCAGGACTCAGACTCCTGCGCCCCCACCCCGTCTTGTCTGTGCCCTTTTCTCCAGCCCCTGTGGCCTCAGCCCAGCTATGGAAGTAAGAGAACGAACTGGTCTGGGATCAGAGAGAAGAGTGAGGGTCAGGCAACAGCCACCCACCCAGTGCAGTGGGCTGTCTGGCTGCAGGCACCAGACGCAGCTGACTGAGTCCTGACTCCGTCCTTAACCGGCTGTGCTATCGCCGCCGTGTCTGGGGCAGAGCAGCGCTCGGTAGACACTCGCTGAGAGAATAAACCAGTCCTCCCGGGTTACCCGGGAATTAGTATCGTTAGTGCCCTCTGGGCTGGGCGGGCCAGTCCTAAGTTCTTCCCAGACATGACCTTAGTCCTCATAACAACCCTATGTGGTAAGGAATAGCATTATCCCCACTTTACTGGCCCAGAGATGAGGATTACTGGCTAGGGTAGCTCGTCAGTGAGCGGCCGAGCTAGGATTTGAACCCAGGCAGCCAGGCTCCAGAGCCCAAGCCCTTGATGTCTGTGCCACAAGATAATCCTCCCCTGCCGAGTTTCTGTGAAGACGAAGACTATGCCTGGCACATCCTAGAGACCACTGTGTTCAGGAGCTGCCGCCAAGGTCTCAAAGGCGTCCGCCTTGGCTGGGGCTGCCCCGTGGGTCATCCTGAGCATCTCAGCCCACCCCCAGCCCCCATCAGGGTTCTCATTCTTTCTTCCAAATTGAGAATCGAGCCTGGGGCGTCGGGCCCTGACTGAGCCAGCCTCTGATGGCAGCTGCAGTAATTATAGCTGTGTGGTCCCGCTGGGCCCTGCCACAGGCGGCTGCTCTCAGCATCGGCTCCCACCAATGCCAGGAGAGCGCGTTGGAGGGGGGGTGAGTTGTATGGCGGGTGGAGAGGGGGGCTGTTGAGGCCTTGGTGAACCCTTCAGATCCGCAGGTTCGGATCAGTGAGGCACTGAGACCCAAACGGGGCATGTCTTGCCCCAGGACACAGCTGGGAAATGGCAGAGATACTTGCAGGGCATGGAGCTCCGTGTTGCTGGAGCTTAAAGGGGAGGTTTGGACCGAGGGGAGGTGGGGCCATCAAAGCAGGCGGGAGTTGGCCGGATCAAGGAGGCTTGGTCGCCAAGGACGAGGGGGGCATGAGACAGAGTTAGGTAGGGGCCGTGGTGGAGTCAGATACAGGATTCAGAAAGTCTTCAGGACAGACAGGGGCTTCTCAGATGAAGACACCAGACACACGAAACAGGAAGGCTTTGGTGGATTCCCAGGGCCTCAGGCCAGGTGGCTGGGGCCAAGCAGCAGGACGGGCTGGCACCAGGCCCTGTGTCCTCCTCGGCCAACCCATGCACATGTGTCTGTCTCCACAGCCAAGCAGGTGTGTCCTGCAGAGAAGCTGAGCTGCGGACCCACCAGCCACAAGTGTGTGCCCGCCTCGTGGCGCTGCGACGGGGAGAAGGACTGCGAGAGTGGAGCGGACGAGGCCGGCTGTGCCACCTGTGAGTCGGGGTGGGATCCCCAGGGTCTGCGCTGCACGGCCAGGCAGCCCCCGGGGGCGTGATCGGTGGAAGGAAAGGGTGATGAGCAGGACACTAGTGATGGCCAGGCACTTTGGAGACACTGTTTTCTTTCATCCTCACAACCACCTCACAAGCAGTCATTATCATTCCCATTTTATGGGCGAGGAAACTGAGGCTCAGACAAGTGAGGAAAAGTACTCAAGGCTGAGTGCTGGCACTGAGATTCAAGTTCAGGTCTGGACAGCAAAGCCCATGAGGTGTTTTTTCCCATGCCTGACATTTGCTCATCCATTCCATGTCTCTACCGGTCCCCGAGCAAGGGCAGGGAGAACAGATGGGACTGCAGCAAGAAATGGTGGTGGCCTGGGCCAGGGCACTGGTAGTGTCCGGGGCAGGGGTGGGGAGAGGACAGATTCCCGAGGTGTGAAGGACTGTTGCTGAAATCTCAGATTCAAGCGCAACGTCACAGGGCAGAGAGGACACTCCCAGCGGCCGCAGCAGGGACAGATGGAAGTGGTCACTGGGACAGTTCCACATCACTGAGCTTCAAACACAGATTATCTCCATCCCAGGGAGCAGGCCAGCAGGGCCTAGGCCAGTGGGGAGCGTGGCTGGGCCGTGCTGGTTTCAATTTGACGGGCTGCTACTGTGTGCAAGGCCTGAGCCAGGCTCCGGAAGGGACAAGAGGCGTATCCTACACAGTCCTCCCTCTGGGGCTCATGACTAACTGGGGGGACAGACCGACTGTCGATAACCAGGCTGTGAGGCTGGGCGGTCACTCGGGAGCTTTTGCCAGGCATGTGCCCACCACTGTCTTCCACCCCACTCCCTATGCCAACCTCTGTGTCTGCATCTTACCCACCCTTCCTGGCGCAGGGGAAATGCCCTGTCCTCTGGGGGCTTCTGAGTTGCAGCTCTGAGATTCTACGTCTGGGGTATGTGCCTGAAGCAGGAAGCATCTGGGTATGGGCGAGATCCTGACGGGGGCCAGCAGTGTCAAAGCCCCAATGATGGCATTGGCTCTTCTCTCCTTTGTGGGACCTCGCCGCCCATGAGAATCCTCTCCCCTTCGAACCCCCTCCAATCAGGTGCTTCCTCGGACACAAAGGCCATCAGCTGCTATTGCAGGGGTGGGAACAGCTCTAACCAGGGCCTGGCATGCGGTAGCAGGAAAGTTCCCTGTCAATCAGAGCAGACAGGGGTGTTAGATGGTTTTAGTGCGCTTCTCTGCTACAGCTCCCAACCTGGGGAAAGGAACAAGAATGCTTCCCCACTCCGGTCCCCCAGAGTTTCTTCCATTTGTGAATGCTGTGAGTGGGTCTCTGGGCACAGGCCTGAGAATACAGATCTTAAAGTGGCCGTCCGCTTCAAAACGTTGGAGAGAATTCAGTATAGAGAAGTACTTCCTTCCAGAACTCTGAACAAAGTGAGTCCTCGCTCCCTGGACATGTACATGCCGAGTCTGGACGGGAAGGAGTGCGGCTAATCTAGGCATCAGCATAATCGTGCGGGGCGGACATCACAGGGTGACATGTGCTTTTCCCACCACAGCCCCAACATCCCAAAAGCCTAGAAGGGGAAAAAATGCTTCTGTCAGAAACTTGACAGAACTGTCAGCAACATGTGACTTGAGCTGCCTACATTGTGAAACTGAAGGCATTGTTCTAGTTTATATTCAATAACAATGAAAAAAAAAATTTCCATCAGAAAAACAGATTCTTGGCGCCCCCATGTGGAGTGATCTGGTGCTACCACCCGTTACCTGCGGCCACAGCCAAGCCCCACCTCAGCCCCCGGCTTGTTCTCGGCCTCTCCGTGTAAGGAATGAAGGAGGCGGGAGGTCGCTGGTCGGACACCAGCTTACACTCCAGGAGAAAACCAGAGTAGGAAGGAGGAGCCCCAAACCCGAGTCCTGTTTCCCTCGTCACCCTGGACCGTGTGGCCCTGAGGAAATTGCTCCCCTCTCTGGGCTTGGTTTCCCCGTCTGTAAACTGGAAGCTGGGCTGGTGATCTCTAAGGCCTCCCAGCCTCTCAGCTCAGAGCAGCCCACTAGAGAGGGAAAGCCCAGGACCCCAGGCAGGGCCAGTGACCTTTGCCCTTCACTACTGCACACCCCTCAATGAGCCCTCGCACCCATCCACAACACACCCGCCCACTGCGGGGGGCCCTGGGTTGGTCTCAGAGCCAGTGCCATGCAGTGTGTGGTCCTGAGGCCGTGGAGAAGATGAGACCCAGACACCAAGCATGATGTGAAAGGCACCGGCAGGAGAGCAGGAGGGGGGCTTCCCGAGCAGGGAGCAGGAAGTGTGTTAGGAAAGAGGTGGCATTTGGGCCCTCGTCAGACGAGAACCCATCTCTGTAAAGTGTAGAGACAGTGGTGGGCAACGTATATACCAGCCGAGGCAACAGCTGGAGCCAAAGCCCAGAGGTGGAACGTGCGCAAAAGGTCTTGCATGATCAGAGCAGGGTGTGTGCTGGAGAGAGGGAGGCCACGGCCCAGAGCAGGGGCTCCGTGCTCGTGGCCGTGGGCGCCAGGCCCGGAGACGCAGATGGTGCAGTACCGGCCATGGGCGGGTGGCGGGGAACCAGAGCT